CGTTAGCTCCTATGTCAAACAAGGCCTAAGCAGTTGGTCTTTAAAATTGTTTACTTTCATTTTGGGCTCAGAAATATATTTCAAAAGCATCCTTTGAAGTTTGATGTGGCCATGTGACTGAGTTATGACCAATGAAATGGACAAAAGTGACAGACGTACTTTTGGATCTAACTCATAAAAATATCCCATGCATACCGCTCTCTAGGACAGCTAGTTAGATGTTGATGCCCAGGGTAACTTTGGAACCTCTGTATTGAAAAATGGTAGAGCCTTTAACAGCCTGGGTACCTGAATAACTGCATGGAACAGAATTCCCATCCCATCTTGGTAACCAATGGACTTTGCATAAGTTGGAACTAAACTTCCATTGTGTTAAGGATCTGCTATTTTTCAGTTTGTCTGGCCCAGCAGCCAGGATAGCCCTAAACAATAAAGTATTATTATTACATGTTAGCCAATATCCTTTTCTTCCAATATCTGTGGTTATTTTCAGCCTTTCAGTGTTGGCAGCACACTTTGAAATACTAGAACTTTTAGTAGCACATTTGAAAGAATTAAAAGACTCAGAAAAGACACAAGTCATCAATGACTACAGCACAATCACTCCAGCAGTATTACAGTGTCCTGGCATCTATAAAATCATCCAATTATTACACTATTTAGTTGGTCAACCTTTAAACCTGTATGATTGTTTGTGTCATCCTGGCTACTTCTCCGATCTCACTTTTGTATTTGCTCATGAGGCAAACTGCTGCATATTCTGGTGACCATGTGAACTGTCTCTTAACTCAGAGGCAAAACAATTTGTCCTGTACACATCACAATGCCATATGACCTCTGCAGCTCCATGGATATTTTGAAAGATTTACTGTAAATATATGGACTCTCAGTTGCAGCAGAAATGCAGTTTTTGTATACAAAATAAGTTGGCCTCACACTTGTCTTTGTGTTTCCCACTGAGGGTCCAGGGCCTGGGTCCTTTAAGGAAACTCTTACTGAGTTTGTGAAACCCAAGGGATATACACAGAAAAATCTGATGTGGGATGGGCAGCTCCAGCAGTGTTGGTTACTTCAAGGCATGGACCACAAACCGCAGCGGAGGTGATCAGCAAGGCTCTCCTAATTCGTTCCACACCACACTGATCAAAAGATTATCTCTAGCACCCTCTCAGCTCTGCCAAGCTGTTTTAGTTTGCCATTGCTTTCATATTTTCTTTGAGCCTCTATCTTTCATCTTTTATCTTTTGTGCCTGTTTCTTTTATCTTGAACACTTAACTTATGGCTTCTAATGCATGTTTATCTCTCTATAGTGCCCTGTAGAGAACCTAAACAAATTAGGAGACCAACAATGGCTGATCTGTGATCTTCTGATGTGAGTATAACAAGGATTGTCACTCCTTGGCACCTGAGTAGTTATTTTCAAAACACATTCGCGTACCTTACCCACCATAACTCTGTGAAATCAGAGGGGCAAGATTCTCATTTACAGATGAGGGAACATAAGCTAAGAGAGATAAATCACTTTTTTATGTTTCCATGACAGGTAAGTGGCAGGTCTCCAATTAGCTCCACTCTTTCATAATTTCTAATCCAGTGTTCATGCTACTGACTCACATACAGCAACTACAACATTCAAGGTGTTCTGGTGAAAACAAGGAGATAGTCTTTATCCTGAAGGGGCCACAGTCATATTGGCACCTTACAAAATAGCCTCGAGAATAAAAATGGTCATAAAAAGGGAGCGCTAAGCTTTTGCTCCTAACAGCCTATTTTGAGCATTTTTGAATGAGCACTATTTCTGAATAAACTAGATTTTCTAGAGTAACTTGCTCAAATAGTTGCAAGTTGGCCATGATGAGTAGGGCGGCAGTGGTTGCTTGAGTCAGAGTCTCAGTTTTTCAACCCGGATGTTTAAATGAGGCTTCCTATACGTGCAGAAAGGTCTTTGGAATCTGTCTAAAACTGAGATGATTAAGATGGAAGTGGATCCTAATTGAGAGAACTTGTATGGAAGAGATTACAAGAACATTATATATAACTAGGCAGAGACTACTAGGTAGCTAGCCAAAAAATGTTGACCCCTCCTTTGGGCCTAAAGCTAGTCTATATCTCCAAGTCTTCCATGCATTTGGATGTGGCCATATGAATTAGGACTCTCAAATGGGATGTAAGCAAGAATGGTATATGCCACTGCTGGGTCTAGTCCATAAAAACGCACCAGTTGTAGATCACTGTGAATTTTTCCCAAAGTAGTTGCCATAGCCACAAGATGTAAGGAGCTTGGATCCCTGTATGACCACATGGGGGAGAACATTTCTGCCAACCTGACTAGTCCATGTCTGGGTTTCTTTGTTACTTCACCCTAGCTTATCCTAGCTAATACAAGTGGTTAACAGAACTATATAAAGTAATAATGAAGATGGGGGAAAAAAACTGAGGCAATTATTGCTACTCCTGAAGGATTAAGCCATAGAAAGAAGAATTTTCAAAAGGAAATTTGTGGATAAAAATGTAGCATCATTTCAGGAGATTTCTATGTTACTCATTTACTTGAAGAATGAAATATTACTACTTGCCATCCAGGCAAGTGGCTGATTTTAAAGACAAAAGCAAAAAAAGAGATTAAAGTTTTATTTTCTTCACAAATATCTTAACATTTAGTCTAAAGTGATCTATATTGAAGTGTACAAGGCACTCTGCAAAAGTAATGATCATGACTTCCTATGACTAATATGGGAGATTAAGAATGATTTATGGCATTTATTAAAGGAATAGAATCAGTTAAGTCTGGAATTTTATCACATTGTATATCATACCTACTGCATCTATTTTGTTCCATATATATTCTATCTATCTGGCTAGCTAGTTATGCACCTACCTGCCTACTTTATCCACCTGTTATGAGCTCTGACATCAGACGACTTGGGTTAAAATCCAGCTGTGTCACTCATTAGCTGTGCGACTTTGGGTAAGTTGTATAACCGCTCTGGTTTTCATCTGTTGTGAGATTAAGTGAGTTCATGTATGTGGCAGTCAAGGAGATGCACCACTCAGATCCCCCACTGCAGGAAGTATACTTGATGGATGGCCCCACGTGCTAATTCCTGGATCCACGCCTGTGTTCAACAAAGGTGCTAATGTGGACCCAAAGCCTGAAAGACGAGGAACAGCTTTAAAGGGCAACTTTGGTTTAAGGACTCCTCTCATCCTAGCTGGAACTTTCTTAGAACAGCCCTACAGTTTGAGCCTCTTCTACCAGTCTCCTGCATCACTGTCTAAAGGTTCTCTCTGTTTTCTTTGGCTCCCTCTCCTTTATGCTTCATGGCTGCATTCTCAATAAGTCTCTTGCATGTCTAATCCCATTTTGGAGAGTCTAGAGTAACACAACACACGTGAAGGGCTTAGCACAGAGTAAGTGCTTGGTTCGTATTGGCTATTATTATTCATATTGTTTTTATTCATAAAATAGGAGTCTCTATAAGCACAATGGTAAAGTAGCAATCTTGGGTTAAGGAGGACTCAGAGCACACATTCAAGATTAGGAAAAAAACACATGCAACTTTAGAAAATCTCATATCATAGTGAATATTATGATATTGCCACTTAAAAATAACAGTTATAAAAAGCAACAAAAACAATATATAAAGGTTAGTGTATAATCCCATAATTTGGATTGATTTTTAAAAAATCTATTTACGTAAATTTAAAATCCTAATTTTAGAGGTGTGGAGAAAAAAGTTTCAAAGATTAAAGGAGAAAGAAGTCCGGTTTGGGGCAAGCTGGTGGCACAGCAATTAGGTTGGCACCTTCCACTTTGGTGGCCTGGGGTTTGCCCATTTGGATCCCGGATACAGACCTGTGTACTGCTTGTCAAGCCATGATCTAGCAGGCATCCCACATATCAAGTAAAGGAAGATGGGCACAGATGTTAGCTCAGGGCCAGTCTTCCTCAGCAAAAAAAAAAAAAAAAAAAGAGGAGGATTGGCAGCAGCAGATGTTAGCTCAGGGCTAATCTTCCTCAAAAAAAAAAAAAAAAAGGTGGCTGGCTTATCACATATGGAACATTTGAATTTATTAAACAGACACAAATCAGCTCTCTCCCATATTTTTGTGGGTTCTAAGAAAAAGGAGACAACATGAAAATAATGTGAACAATAAGATATCTTTCTTTAATAAACAAAGAAAATTGAACATGATTTCCCATTTGCGAATTTCTTATACCAGACAGTCATTCTAATATTTAGTGAATGCCGACCCTGAGCACAGTCTAATGCTGTGTGCTTTGGGGGTCAGGTATTTGGGGAGAAGTCAAAGGATGAAGGTTTATGATCCCTGTCTTTGGGCCACTTAAGTCTTAAATGAATCTCCATATTCAAATACTCTGTTAATGAAGGATCATAAAGTGTAACCCATGTACAGAAGTGCTGTAAAAAGTTGACTAAGAAAACTAGTTCAACCATAAAAACCATATAGTAATTAGTACCATTTCTTGATTACCCACCATGTGTCAATCATCTCATGTAAGTTATTCCATTAAATCTTGTCAAGAATTCTGTGAAGTCGTCTCTATTTTAAGGATGAGAAAGCTAAGACATAGACTGAATAAGAGACCCAGGTTTTAACCAAGCTTAATGGGGCCAGCCCTTTTGTTCTTGACCACTGAGGCATTGAGAGTCCACAATGGATGCAGCCTGTAACCCAATCAAAATGACTTGTCAGGAAAGAGAATTTTAAGGGAGATCCATTTTGAGTAGTTAGTGTATGTTGTAGTTTTCACCAAGGAAATAGAGAAGCAGGTATTCCAAGTATGGAGTGGAGAAGCAGGAGCGAAGACACAAAACGGAAGGAAAGCAAAGCATATGTGGAGGAGAGAAAAACAGCCCGGCCTCTCAGTGTGAGAAGTTCTGATGGGGAATTAGGGGGGTCACAGGGCGGCGGACACAGAGAGGAGTGGGCAATAGAGGAGCAGCCTGAAATGCAGAGGAGGCAGAGCTGACACCTGCTGTGTAAGGAACGCTGCTCTGGCAGTTGTCACTCTTTCTTTCAGTTTAGTTATTTCCTGGGCCTGGAATCCTGGCATGAGGGCAGGAGTCCTGATTTTCAGGCAAAACTCTGGAAATGGAAAGCATGGAGTGAATCAGAAAAAAAAGAAAGTTTACAAAGGAAGCAGTGGGCATAGCTGGGTGACACACACGGGAGGAAAAAGTCACAACTGTCTAGGTCCTGCACTGCTTCCATGCTGGACAAGGGCACTATAATCTTGGAAAGTCAGGAAATGTTGTCTAGGGACAGAAGCAGTCACAACAAAATTACCCAGCCCTGCTTTTCACGTTTGTCAAAGACTTTGAGTAGTTTATGTATACAGTCCTACCTGGGAACCAAGGCTGGGCTGCGTGGTCTCAGAGGACCCCGTCCAGGTGTAGAATTGCCTGCCTCAGTGAGTACAGCACACAAAAGGATCTCCACTCAGATCAGAGCTGCCCAGAATACAACAATGAGACATCTGTAAAGCCTGCCAGAGGAGTCTTGCAAAAGCTCCCACCCCATCCTTTCCCAGAGCAAGAGCCAATTCCCCACGAAAAATATTGGAGCGGCAGCCACCTTCTCCCCGGGTCCCATTGTGTTTTTCTGCTGCTCAAGTGGGCCTCAGCACTTGCAGCGAACAGTCGACAGGGAAGCACACTGCTGCCACGCCACACGGCTGGCTCATCAGTGCCTATTATGCTGTAGAAAGCGGCACTGATGTGCCTCTTAAAATTTTACCGCGGACACACCTACCATCTGACACCGTACAATTAGCCCTGCGCTCTTGGAGCTCATGGTGGCGGAGGGATTACCACAGCAGAGAAATCCTTATTTGAGATTCAGAGCAGCTCATGTATATGCAGAGTTCCCGTGCCCTTCTACGGCAAGGGAGGGAGGGTCATATTCTTTATATTGTCGAAAAGTGTTAATTTCCCGGAGCATTTTTCTCTTAAGAAAATCACTGTGCTATATCGTCATCTGATCCATTATGATTTACCCCACTGAGAAATGTTACCCCTTCTCTAGACTGAGAAAATAGTGCCTTGCTGAGCATTTTCTAATGTGTTTGACTAGAGAAGAATATCTGTTTAGGGAGCTCTGTGAAATTTCAGTCCACCAGAGAATTACATAGAAAACTTCCATAATGTCTCCATGTATGTTGCATTCTCATATCTCATCCTCAGACCGATGTCCCCCACTCTCTGCCCCCCCACATAGACACAGACGCACACTGAGACACACACGCACAGACACACAAAGACACACACAGGCACATAAACATACACTCCGATACACACACAGACACACACACAGATGCAGAGACACACAGACACACATAGATAGAGACACAAAGACATACACAGACACACACACAAACAGACGTTCGCGCACACAGAGGTCGGACTCAAATCCAATTCAAAATAAGACAGAATAATACTACGAAGGTAACCTTCCAGAAAAAAGTGATACATAAAGGTCTCTCAAGCATTCACAGCAAGCAAGGAACCGAGTATAAATACTATGAATGGAATTCTAATATAAAAATAAATCAGCACTGTTGATCTGCCATGTACAAATGTTGTTTTGAACAAGAGGATAGAGCCTTAAAAACTGGGGTTCTCAGAATATTCCAGATATATAATGGCTAGAGGCATGGAGGCCATCCAGTTGTCAGGAGGCTGGGACAAAAGGTTTTCTGAGCTGTGAACTAACCCACTGTCCTTACTTGAGCCTGATGTTCTGGGGAGCAGGAGGAAGCGTGTTTGGGGAGCCCCAGTGACACACCGCCTATTCTGAGCAGCGAGGCAAACTCACTGGTGATGGGCATCCGGGAGGCGCCGGCAGGGAATTAAAGATTTTTGGATGATGTAAAATATTCTTCTTGTGCTGGTTTTTTAACCAGGGAATAAGAAAGTTTCCACCTTTCTCCAAATCTGTTTTTACCCATCTGTAGTCTCAGGAATTTAGACAGCTTTCCTGCTGTACCTTAAAAAAAAGAAAGAAAAAAAGAAGCTGAACCTCACACGCCAAAACATTTCAACAGCTGCTTTTTGCTGTTGTTTTGGTGAGGGTGGGTCCCCTACTCTTTTTGGTACTTGAGCTGTTCTGAAACCTGTGACATTTCTTGGGAAGTGCCAAGAGAACAGTTTTTGCTGAATTTCCATTTTAGGAATTAAAATGTCCCAATATGCCAGTACTTGTGCTATTTCTAGCCGTGTTTTGAATCAGATTTGACTAAGAATATGGACTTTCAGAATCTGGGGAAAAAAACGGAAAGAAGAAATCTTTACCTTGAAGTACTTTGAAGAATTTCCGAATACTTCCCTATTTATTTGGGGTGGGAGGGAGTGGCTACTGATCAGGTAGAAAGTCTGCTGAATATTTTGTATTACAGAAATATTTTAAATAGACTTATTTCCTATTCTAATGCTGTCTCAGAAGTCATGCCTTCTGATATTCCTGGATATCAACGGTTTACAGTTATGTGTTAGAGTATCTTAAAGCAAAGGAAATTTACTTTTCTTTTTTTATAGCACAGATTTCCTTAACGTATGGATAAACAAGCTTGAAGAAAATAATTGAATGTGAAGACCTGAAATCATTGTCAGTACATCTTCTAACGAGCTATTACCATAGTAAGCTGCTTTCGCAATGAGACCACCTGCTCCAGGCAGACAGATGGAGGCCCTATGGGGGTCATGGCTCCCCTTGTAAAGAAAGCTGGAGTCACATACGTGCGCGATTTTGGTAGAAAAAAAAAAGACTGAGGCATTGACACTTCACAGAAGATAGCTGTGACTTTGTTAAAGAAATGTCAGCACTCTTGACTTCCTGACTTCCTCTCTTCCCTGTCGTTTTCGGGTTGGGCAGCCGCATCCTTCCTTAAGTGCATTTCACTAAGAAGAATAGGATGAGAAATTAGCATTCTCAGAGGCTCCGGCAATCATGCAGATGGAATAAGCTGAAAACGTTGTGTAACGAAAATAAAACACAGAGCAGTTCTTCTATTTGGATCCATACTCTCCTAATAGCAATCATACAGTAGTGTTAGATTCTGGATTGAAGATAGCGCTGAAGAGGGGGAAAAAGTGACGTTGAGAAAGAGGTTAGATGGGAAACAATGGGGCACACTGACTAGGAATTCTATTTTTAGGACAGTGTATGTGTGAGCTATACTATGAGGATATTCTTGGGGAGACATAAGGAAAAAAATTCATAATTTTAGTTGATTAAAAATATGCTCTGTCTTCTAGTACACAAATTAACAAAATTCACAATAAAATGTGACTTGGTGGAAAAGCCAATTACTTCTTTGTTCTATACAAAGTATGGCTTTATTTTTATATTAATGTTTGAGTTTTAAAGACTTTAAAACCCCTTTTCATTTGTTCCAGAAGCCATATTTTCCAGTATTAGAAAAATTTGGATTGCGTTTATTATATAAATAATGGATAGATACATTCATTCATTCATTCATTCATTCATTCCTTTCTCCACTGTGGAACACTATCTTGTAGGCCATTTAGAATTATTGGTTCTCACCAACTAAATGCCTTGAGCATTCTCCAGTCATCATGACAACAAAAAAGAAAATTAAAAAAAACCCCAAACCCCTCGATTCACTTCCAAACATGCTGGGGCAGGAAGAACAACACGCACCCCCTCCTCCCCGCCTCTGGGTTGAGAAGTCTTGAAAGAGCCTGTGGGTATAAGACAAAGAATATGGTTCCTAACTCCAAGGAACCAACAGTCTGGTGGGGAAATAGATATGCAAGTGTAATCACGTTATTGATGTATCGCCACACAGTCCTGTCATTTTTAAAACTCCTGTGTAGTAATCAGTTTAGAGGCCAGCTCTCCTCTTCCGTGATCTCAGCCTGAAGCTGTGCTCCCAGAGCTTTGGCGTGAAGCCTGGGGTATGTGCCAGACGGCTGGGTGGCAGAGACCCCTTCTGTAATTGACTTCGGTAGTCTGGCTGGTTCCATCTGGTGCTGATGGCCTCTGCTGCAGGAATCATCTCCAGGTAGCTGGTGTGTGTTTGAATTTGGGCAAGGGGCTGTTCAACCTCACTCTATGTCTCCACTGCTGAGGACCTCCTCTTCTGGGAAGTGGCACTGACTCCCTTTGGCCCTGCTAGTAGTTTATATTCCTAATCTCTTGTCTAGCCTGGGTTTCCCATCACGTAACAGACCAGTCATCTGAGCATCCCTATAGCTCATGCTCATCTCTACCTCTGGGCTCTCCCTTGTGGAGTCTTAGGAACAAATGAGGCCCTCTTGTTCACCCTCTGAGGATCACAGCGTACTGGGATGGCGTAAGTGTGTCCCCCATACCCTTCTAAGATCCAAAATATTACAGTTCCTTGAGGCCCTGCATCATGGGATGCTAAAGGAGATCTCTTAATTCAGAAGTCTGTAGTTCAGAAAAGGGACCACAATCCCCAACTTCGGGATGCATACATCAAACACTGTGGAGGGATAGGGGACTGAACAAGACAACGGGACCTACTCCTGGGCTCCTCAAACGTTCTCTCCAACTAATCCTGCTCAGGAAGCAGCACGTGGTGAGTGTGCAGATCTACAAGTCAGCAAACACTCATCCCAAAGAAAAGCTCTCAATCTGTCTCTTTTGAGCTGTAACAATCAGAAAACCCCAGTGACGATGATTCTAACATTCATCATTTCCCTAACAGGATGTCCAGAGGCCAGTGGACTCAAAGGTACCATCAAGCAACTAGATGTCTTTTATCATTTTTTTCTTATAGATTTCGCTTTTGTCTTTATCACCTCATGGGCTCAAGACTCAGGACAGGGAACTGTGTTCTCATACAGCAGCATCCATTTGAAACAGTAAGCAAGAGGAGGGGACCAAAGGGTCTTCCTCTTGTGTGGTGTTCTTTTTTATCAGGGAAGCCCCCTGAGTCCCACTGAGGACTTACAGTGACGTGAATAGGTCACATGACCAAGTCACATGACCACACCCAGACCAGTCACTGGCAAAGGGGAAGGAAATGACCAGCCAGCCTAAACCCATCATGATTCATATTCAGGGGATGAGCACATTACCACAAAAGCTGAATTTAAACCAGGATAGAAAATTTTAGATAAGAAAAAGGGGGAAGGTGGTAGGAAAGTACCAGAAGAGAAGTCAACCACATTCTGTTCTTATACGTATGCCTGAATATCATGAGGGATACTCATGGACTTCCCTTAACTTGGCTTCAGGGAGGAAAAAGGAAATAGCCAAGAGGAAAAGAAATTTTTTTATATGCTCTAATAATTCTAATTACTTCCGTCCCTCATCTCAGGGTTCTTCTTTTGTTGGCTGGGAAGTTTCATAGTGGGTTATGAGGCTGGTGTGGCAACTTTCGGAAACATTTGTGGGAAAATGCTTGATCCTGAGTGCTAATAAATCTTGGCAAATTCTTTGAATCTGGAATATGGGGCATGCTGGTACTTATAGTTTTCAGCAGAAATGTTCTGCACAGGAGGAAATTCCAACAGAATATCCTGTCAGACTTCAAAGTACTATGAAAAATGTTAATTGCTATGTGGAAATACTTATAAAGTTAAGTGTAGCACAATCAAATAGTACGTACAAATTGTGAGGTGGAATGCTAAAAATTTGGAGTAAACAGTTCAAGGACTAAATTTCATTCCTCA